GGGGGGGGGGGGGGGCGGGCGGCCGGAGGCTTTTTTGCCTGGGGCGGTGAAAAAGCCAGAGCCGGCCCTGCATGTGGAGACAATCTGCAGTGTTTGCCACTAAGGCTGATGCACTGGTTTGCTACATCACAGTAAAGTTTCTCTCCTGTCTTTGCACATTTTGACTGGGAGTATCCATCTGACTGTGTGTGCAATGTGAAGACAACAATGGTGCCTGTGTTCATAATAGCGTCTCTTCGGTGTTAACATCAGATCTTCCCAGTAATGGATGTGAACCACTCGGAGCTGAAAGGAAAGTGGGTCAGTTCTCAGCTGCCTCAGCTCATGGGGTCTCAGGGCACAATGCAAGTGTAAGTGGGGGAATGGTCCCGCTATTGTGGGGAGCTTTCCTGGCTTCTGCACTACCCTGGTGAAGTGGGCTAGCGAAAGGATCCGAGTCCTTGCTCCCACTTCCTTTACCCAGAGGCCTGCCTGACCTCGAGGGCTCCCCTTCCACTCTCCTGTCTGGCAGAGTCCTCATAAACCCCAACAAGGCTGGGCCCAGGATTCCTGGGGGGCTCAACCCCCAACTCTGCTGTGGTCACCTAGGACAGGGGCTAGGGTGTCCCCCACTCCGGGGTACTCTCTCTGCACTGGGCACTTCCCTGACCCACTGATCATTTCACACAATTTAAAGCAAATGCAAGATATTTAATCAACAATTAATTAAAAAAAGAATAAGGAAAAATGGGAAAGGTTAAAGGAAAACACACCACCCCGCTCTGTGGCCGGGAACATCACAAACAGTGTCTCTGGAATGTCAGGGCAGGTCACAGTCTGTTCCTTGTAGGTCCCAGGCTCCTTCTCAGGCCCCGGCTGTGCTGCAGGGATGCTGCAGGTTGGACACTTGCTCTGGTGGTGGCCACACACCTCCGGGCTTTGTGTGGTGGGACCCTTCTTCCCAGCATCAGCCCCTCATCAGGTTAAGATCCCCCTCCCAGTCGGGCCTGCAAGGACCTTTGGCTGGGGGTGTCTTTCTGTGCTGGGCCCTTTGCCCAGGGTCCCCCCTGGCTAGCCCCAGTTGTTCACCACACCTGGCGCCAGACTGCTCCAGCTCCACTGTTCTAGCCCCAGCTCCACTCTGCCTCAGCACTGATGCTGCTGCTGCTGCTCTGCCTCCAGCCCCCTGGGCTGCTTCTCGGGCCCCTCTGGCTCTGTGGCTGCAGCCCTGCTCCCAGCACAGGATCTGCTCTCCCTGGGCTGTGGATCTGGCACAGCTCAGCTCGGGCCCCTGCTCTCCCCTTAGCTCGGCCCCCCTCTGTCTGATCCAGGCAATTCCACACGGAGGGTGGGCCACCCCGGCCTCCTGACTCCCTCCCTGATTAACCGGCCTGCCCTGTCAATCAGGCTGATCTGGAGCATTGGCCTCTCCCCATTGTTCCTGGGGACTGTCAGTCTCAGGCTCCTGATTTCCCATCAACCCTTCCCCTTTTGGTACTGGGAGCTAGCAACCAAAACACCCCCAGGGAATGTTAGTAAGGGGGCAACAGTCCCCTTACACAAGCAGAGCAGGCCAGGGCCCCTTCTGAGCATGGGCCCGGCTCCATGGAGCCACTGGCGCCATTGTAAACCCGGCTCTGGCCCGGGATATGGCCTGTTGACGCCAATGGAGCTATGCTGGGCTGGACTCGCCGGGGATATGGTCTATTGAGTGCAGTTGAGCTACATTAGTTTATACTAGTTTGAAGAGCTGGGCCATAAAACAAAACCACTGACATGATTGCACCTCTCAGCTGAGGCATAAAAGGGCTTTTGTCAAGAGTGGGGAGAGGTCTGGTCGTTATTGTGATTACAGTAGCAACTACAGATTAGGAGTCTATTGTGCTAGATTCTGCGCAATAGCCTACGCCTAAAACGCAGTATTTATGCACTGCAACTTGGCTCAAGAGGAAGTGGGTTTTTTGACATATCATCACATGTTGCAGAAAGGGGAGTTCCAGCACTGTTCTTGAGAGACGTTGAAAATCCGGCCACACCTGTCGCATTATGCTTTCTCGGTAAAATAATTGTTTTCAAATCGACTGGCCTGTGTCTCATGTACAACAAGCACTTTTTATCCCAGTGTAACGGGGCTTTAATGCAGGTGTACTGTAATTTGGTCCCACATATAGGCCCTTTTACACGGCTGATGTAAGTGAGAATCAGGTCCTTTGACAACGTAACTTGATTAGAGGACACCCTGGTTTCAGATTGCCGCGATGCTGGGGAAGATGGCGGCAGCTGTTGCAACCTTTGCATGCCTGGTGGTGCTCAGCAGCTTACAAGGTAAGATGAACATTTTGTGTTTTCTCTTGAAAAAGGCGCTTGCTTCACATTCCTCTTCCAGCTGTCCTGGCACTTCTCTTTATGGCTCTAAGGCTGATCCTTCGCAACGGGCGGGTGCCGTTCTAATGTAAGTTCTTTTGCGGAGCTGTCACTCCCAAACCTCTCCACCCGTTTTGGATCTGTGGATATCAGATATGGGGGGTGTGTGTGTGTGTGTGTGTGTGTGTGTGTGTGTGTGTGTGTGTGCTAGTGATTTGATTCTTTCTCAAACTCCCCTGCCTTGTGCTAGATAAGTTTTATCTTGGAGGGCTGGAGGTGGGGGAAAGGATATCTTGTAGGTTCCATTTAGCTTCTTGCTGTAGAAGTGACTAAGATATTGACAATCAGAGGGAGGGAAAAATGAGTTGGGACTTTTCAAAAACTTCCCATCAAAATTTCTCATCTGAATTTGAAATTCTGATCAAGTGTTTTGCCGACATTTCTTTGCTAAGTGGAGCACGGCTGCCTTGTTCCTTTCAAGTTACGGTTTTCAGGCTCATCACAAGAACAGGCTTAGAAACTTGCATCAAAGGGTGGAAACTAACCCCAGCCCACAGACTGGAAAGCTCCAGAGAAAGATTCCAGAGTATTTGAGTCTCCAAGGATCTAGAAGCTCGTCATCTTTTATCATTGACAACATTTGTTCCTGCACACACTTAATTAGGGCCATAAAAACCCACATTTCTGGTCAGAAAGGGTTGTTTTTTTCCTCCTGAGTACAGCATTACAGTGATCAGGGGAATCAGACATGGGTTTTGCTCTACTTACTCCGAAATAGGGATTCCGTTGTTGTCAACTCTTGTGAGTTTGTTGCAAGTCTTGGTGTTTTTTCTAAAAAATCCCCAGCTGCTGGAGCCCTGTGATTATGTGAGAATCTCACTTTAAAAAAAAAAAAAGAAAGCTAAGTTTCTAGCCCTTGTGATTGTGGAGAAAAGCTTGAAAACATGATCCATAAATGTTCAAAACTCAACAGGCACACAAAGAACCCCAAATTAATATTTTAAAAAAGATAATCTCATGCATGAGGGAACTCCTTCGTGATTTTGGGAGGCACAGGGTTAGCAATATGGCGGCAGCAGCAGCGTGGGGAGTTGAAAGTCCCAACTTTGTAGAGGCGTGTCAGTGCCTTCAATGCTGGTGTAAAGGGTGGTGTATTTATTAATCCTTATGTCATCCATTACGTGTCTATGGCGAGTCACACTGTGTTTGTGGTTGCCCCACCCCCCCTTAGTAACGCCCTTTTATGGTAGTTCTGTACGGGAGAAGATGGCCCAGCTTAGTAGGCTGAGTTGAAATAGCAAAAACCACTGTCTCATCATCACGCAGCAGCTTACAACACAGCAGCAACGGTGAAGCACATACAGCGAATCAAGAGACCATAAAGTGGTAAAAGGAGCTGAACTTCCCTCAGAGTCAGCAGCGGTCACGTGTAGGGCATTTTGCTTGATCCAAGCAAGAAGCAAAAATAAAAACAATCACCCCTAGCTCTTCTCACCCATGGATCTCAATGTGCTTTTTAAAGGCGCTTAGTACCATTGTCCCCATTTCACAGTGGGAGAAACTGAAGCACAGAGAAGGGAAGTGACTTCACCTAGCAGGACAGCCAGGAATAGAAGGCCAGTGCTCTAGCCACTAGGCAATACTTCCCCCAGTGAATAGAGCACACTCTGTTTGCTAGATTACCAGTTCAAAAGGTCCAACTCATAAAAATGAATGTGTTTAACACATCTGATGTGTGTGTGTGTGTGTGTGTCCGTCCCCTCTCACTCTGGTGCTGGTGGGGTAACAATCTACTGTTGCTACCAGCTAATGGAGTTAGTTACTACTTTAGCTCAAGTGTGAGACATCGGTTCTGTACTAGACAATCTCTTATCTGTTTGTCCTCACTGATACCAAAATCACAATGCTCTGCTTGCTCCAGGCCCCCTTGGACATCGGCAGGCCTCTGTGCGTATTATATCGTTGTTGGGAAATAAATGGTCGACAAGCTTTTTAAGTACAAATCTCAGAGTGGTTCAAGACCTAGTGGCCCCCAAGCAAGGCTCCGTTTTGCTAGGGATCCACAACATAACAATACCTAGAGCTAGGGCTCTTTGCGGCTGTAGATCTGTGATACTGAGTCCGGACACCCCAAGGGGAAGAACAGGTTAGGCCCCAAAAAACTGAACCAACTGATTGCACTGTGTATTGTACTATGGGAGTATATTGAGTAAGGGTTTTTGTGAAAGCTTGGAATAGTCTGAACTTGATGGTCATTATGCGCTATGTATACAGACTGTGGTTAAACCAGACTCAAGGAACACTTCATTGCTCATTTTGGGGGTTATAAATCTTCTGTTCTCCACTGGGGGGGGTTCAGTCTGGAACCTGAGTGTCACAAGAGCTCAAAGTCCTTCACAAAAGAGCGTGAACGGCATTATCCCCATTTTACAGGGGGAAACTGAGGCACAGTGAGAGGCATTTGCGCTAGCTTGTCCCAGTTCACCCAACAACTAAGAGTAATGCTTATTCCTTTGCTTCCCATTGCAACTCTGATTTTTGTCTGTTGACAGCTTACGAGGCTACAGCGGTGCCGCGCAGTCAGGTGAATGGGACTATCTGTGGCACGGTGTATCTAAACCCCAAACTGTCAGTCCCAGAGAAATACCAGCAGATCATCTGGTGGTTCAACGAGTCCCTAAAGATCCTGACTAAAAAATGGAATCAGCCAGTGTATTACCCAGGTGGCAATATTCATAATAAACTGCGTTACCACGAAAATCACACCCTGGAAATTAACCAGCTGCAGAAGCAAGACAGCGGCACCTACCGGATGGAAGTGGAAGACAGCCAAAGCAAGAAGACAAATGAATTATTCCGACTGGACGTGTACGGTGAGTCGGGAGCAGCCTCTTCGCACAAGGGTCAGGGATGGTGAGGTTCAGGGAGCTAGAAGGGCCCTGATAATGCACCCTCCTCTCTCCCCACCCCGAAACGCCCACAAGGCGGGGGAAGGAGCAGGTAACAGCCTGGATGGGACAAAGAGGCTCCCAGGAAATGGGCCAGACCTTCAGCTCAGGTTCTGGGTCCAACGCTCCATCGCCAGAGCTGTTTTTTCTGGAATCTTTGTGGCTGGGGCTTTAAGGGGAGGGGTCAGGTACCGACCTTAATGACATTCCTGTTTTGGGACCTCCCACAATGGACCAAATGGGAAGAGAGGCAAAAGCAGATTGCTGCCCTGCTGGCAGAAGGGGGGGTAATGGAGCCACCCAGACGTCTTCGAGGAACAGCTACACACACATCAGAAAGCAGGGGAGACCAGCTAGTGAGCGCCAGGAAAGCCACTGGGGGAGGGGGCTCCATAAAAGAAATGAGTTGATAACCCTCCAAGCTAAGCTGGTAAGGGCCAAGAAGGATCATAGAATCATAGAATATCAGGGGTGGAAGGGACCTCAGGAGGTATCTAGTCCAACCCCCTGCTCAAAGCAGGACCCATCCCCAACTAAATCAGGATGGTCTTGTAGCCAAGGCACTGGACCGGCACCCAGGAGATTTGCTTTAGTCACTTAGGCCAGTGTTTCCAAAAATGACTAAGGATTTGGGATGCCCCATTTTTTCGGCACACTTTAAAGGGACCTGATTTTCAGAAAGTGCTGAGCATCTGGGCTCTGAAAATCGGGTTCCTACAGGGGATCCAGAATTGCGGGACACAGTCACTAGTCACGTTTAAAAATCTTGGCTTAAGGCCTTGGCCAGGGGTCTCTCTGTGCTTCAGGGCGTGAGGATATGGTCATTGAGTCCTGAGAGGTGCTGGGGTGATGGAGGCTAAACACCCAGACAGAGCCCAGGGTCACATGCACTCTATAGGTGAGTAGGGGGATACACAGGGAATTTGGTACTGTTGATCTAATGTCTGTGATGCAAACGAGGGCTGCATTTCATGATCCCCAAAATGCTGAAGGAAAATGATGACATCTGGAAATCAGGTTCTCCAATGGGAAACTTTTTAATGAGCTTATTTTAGTTAGCTTATCAAAGGGAAGGTTAAAAGATGACTCGCTCTCAAAGCAGTACCGACACACAGAGAAGATCTCTGAAGAGCCCCCTCTTATCAATCTAGCAGATAAAGGTAGAACAAGATCCACTGGCTGAAAGTTGAAGCTAGAAGAAAGTTTAGTCTCATTTCGTGTTTGCATTTAACGGGGATGGAAATGAACCCCTGAAGCAGCTCACCAAGGCATATGGTGGATTCTCCATCACTTGAGGTCTCCACATCATGGTTGGACCCTCTTTCTAAACGATACGCTCTCATCCAGCCACAGGTCAATGGGTTGGAAGCAGGTGCCATTGGGTGAAATTGTCTGATCTGCATTACACAGGAAGTCCGGCTAGATGAGCATCATTCATAGATTCCAAGGCCAGAAGGAACCATTGTGGTCATGTAACCTGACCTCCTGGATAACACAGGCCGGAGCCCTGCCCCAAAACAATTCCTAGAGCCGATCTTCTAGAACAACGTCCCATCTTGATTTTAAAATTGTCGGTGATGGAGAATGCACTATGCCCCTTGCTAAATTGTTCCAATGGTCAATTACTCTCACCGTTAAAATTTTACACCTTATTTGCAGTCTGAATTTGTCTAGTTAATAGACCATCCTGTATAAAATCTATATAGGCAACACCCCCAGCTGGTATAAATCAGTTTCACTGGAGCACCACCCGTTCACATCATCTAAGGATCTGGCCCAGGGTTAGATCTCTGTTGTTGAATTTCTCTTTTCTCTGTTTCTAGAGCCCGTCCCTAAACCCAGGATGAACTTCACTATCAGGGCCAACGAAGATGGATGGTGCAATGTCACCCTGGCGTGCATTGTGGATGCCACCCAAGTGACCTACCACTGGCGCAAGAATGAAAAGGATTTAGTGGGCAAAATTAGCAGCACACTGGACGTTGCGTTAAAGTCAGAAAGTCACGCGTCTTACAAATGCAGCGTCAGCAACCCCGCCAGCGAAGAGACAGGCTTCTTCAATTACAGAAGCCCTTGCACGTGGAATGGTAACATTCACTTTGCATTCATTTCTCTTGCTGCGTCTATCTGGCTGTAGAGGCTACCTATGCAGCCACTCGGGTTAGGTCTCCATTGAAGCAGGGCAGCCGTGGTTCTGGTGACTCTTGAAGGAGAGTCTCGTTCACTGGTCCCCAGTGTGTATTTCCCCCCACGGGGGACCCCAGAGCAGTCTTCTGCTGACCTGCCCTGGGCTGTGAGTTGTGGTGAAGCTGCAGCCACTGTGGGGCTAGGTTGGGAACGCCGTGCTGCTGGGGGTGCCGCGTGTTGGATGATGGATCCTGGCCACGCGGCGTGATGCTGCCCAGGGTTGGACGGGCCGTGTGTGCCTGTGACACAGGAGAGCCGCCTGCTGCTGCTGTGATGGGCTGAGTTCAAGGGGTCGAGGCCCGTGCTTTGGAGCTAGAGGTTGCGGGGACAGTCCCTGGCGATGGCCCGACCAAGAGGGGCCATTAGAGGCACCAGCGCAGGGTGTGGTGTCTGCGTTAGCACAAGGTACAAAGTGATGCAGCAGGGGGGTTGGTGTGGTCCCCTCTCCACCCTGGGAGGGGCTCCCAGGGGAAGGCGCAGTGCAGACTGTGATCCCAGAGGATTAGCTACAAGGACGGTGCCATTGCAGCCGGGCACTGGGTTCCAGAGCCAGCTGTGAAGTTCTGGGAGCTTGAGTCGATAACTGGGGGATCCTCTGGGTTTTGGGGGTGTCTCCTTGGCTCATTCTGCACAGGGAGGAGAGAAACATCGTCCTGGGTGATTGAGGCAGCAGGGGGGCTCTCTCTGCACCCACAGAGGGTCGGGGGGGACGGAGCACTCAGGCCAGGGACAGGGCTTCTTTCCCTGTGTTTCGCTGGGCATCCTCTCCTTGCTCCTCTCTCCTTCGACCCCTGTTCATCCTTGCCCCCAAGTTCTACCCCCTCCTGTGGGTATTCCATGGCAGGGGCGAGGCAGCCCATGTGTATTATTGGCTGGCACATCCTATAAATAACAGGCTCTTGTCTTGTTCCAGAGAAAAACTCAGCCGTGCCCGTGTCCCTGGCTCGGAAAACAGCCGATTCCATCCTGGCGTTTGGATTTCTCCTCCTCGTCCATAACTGGGTCTAAGGCTGGGGAGCCAAGAGAACGCAACAAACCCCTCGATTGCCTCCGCCTGGTGAAACACACAAGACCAAAATGAACTCCTGAAATAGCCGCGTTTGACAGCCATCCCCCATCTTGCCAACACACTGGGGATTGAACTAGGGACTTAGAGAACTGAGGGGCAAGTGCTGGGAGATAGGGGGGGGAAAGCGGGCACGCGGTGTGCTCAGGGGTGGAGGCAGAGTGGAGGAGGCAGTGCCAGGTTTACAATGGCTCCAGTGGATCCATGGAGCTGGGCCAGTGCTGAGCAGGGGCCCTGGCCTGCTCCACTTGCACTGCGCCCCGAGACCCCACTGGCTCCCCCCGCCCACCACTTGCTCCTCTTGGCCTGCCCGCTGAGGGCTCCTCTCTGCCCCTTGGCCAGACCCCAGTGCACCTCCGACTCTGGGCAGTCTCTGCTTCCCACTACCTGTGGAGCCCCACCTGTCTCCCTGGAGCTGAGCACCTGGGACTGGTGCAGAAGCCTGGCCAGTCTCAGCCAGGTGGGATGGGGGGGGAACAGTGTGGAGGGCTTGGCTGGGCCCCTCCAGGCAAATACGTCTTGAGGGAGCCTGGCCGGGGTAGGTCCTGGCCTGGCTGATTGCGCCACTCCCACGGAGATGGAGTGATTCCCGGCCCTGGGACCAGCCCTGACTGCGCTGCCGGCTCAGCCCGGCAGACACAGTCACCTTCCAACACGGCCAGTAGGCAGGGGGTGGGAGTGGGTCTGTGGCAGGGGTTCTCACACTGGGGTTCAGGACCCCCTCAGGAGGTCGCGAGGTTATTACATGGGGGGTCGTGAGCTGTCAGCCTCCACCCGAAACCTTGCTTTGCCTCCAGCATTTATAATGGTGTTAAACATATTAAAAAATGTTTTTAATTTATAAGAGGTATCGCACTCAGAGGCTTGCTGTGCGAAAGGGGTCACTAGTACAAAAGTTTGAGAGCCACTGGTCTATGAGAAGTATGGGGGGGGTGCTGGCCTGTGAAGGGGCCGGGAAGATCTGTGTGTGTTGGGGCACTAGGGAGTGGGGGTTCTGTGTGTGTGGGGGGTGCTGGGCAGTTGTGGTGGGGCTGTGGACAGGGGGGGTGTTGTGCAGGGCGCTGTGCATTTGGGGGTGGGTCTGGGGGGCCTCCGGCCATAGGGAGTCGTGGGGTGTTGGGTGGGGGCGGGGCAGGCTGTGTGGCACGGCATGGGCCCACCCCTGAGGGGAAGGGGCATGCTGGCAGCACAGGGCCAGGCAGGCCACTGTGCATCTGGCAACTGCCGGTTTGTAAATAGTGCCCTCGCATTGGGCAGAGCGGGGCTTCCCCTGCCATGCCATGCCCCATTGCCCCTGGCTGGCCCCTCGCTCTGGGGACTGACCTCCCCGCACCATGCTCCATTGCCTCCATGGGGGCCCACAAATATGTTTGGCGCCGAGCCCACAAAAGGTTAATCCAGCCCTGGGAGGCAGAGGTGAGCTGGGCGTGGAGCTGCTGGTGGGTGCTGAGCACCCAACAATTTTTCTCCATGGGTGCTCCAGCCCCAGAGCACCCACAGAGTCAGCACCTATGGGCCCCCTATGCACCCCGACTCTCTCCCCTGCTTGCTCCCCTTGCCCCTGCCTGCCAGGAGCTGATCAAAAAAAAAGAAACAACAAGCTACAAGCCAAACAAGCTACAAGCCAAAAACTAGCCAACAAGCAACTCACAAGCCAATTAAGCCAAAAACAAGCCCAATTTCTGTGTTTTTTACACAGGTTTGACATGGTTTGACATGTCTGGTTGTGGGACTTCTTGGGAGGTGTTACAACCTGAGGGATTTTGCATAACAACCCCGCACTGTTCTGAGTACCCGGAGAAACTGTGGCCTCCCTTTCCGGAGGGAATTGCACATACAAGCCAGAGCTGCAGGAGAGCTGGTCTCTCTCACCAACAGAAATGGGTCCAATAAAAGCGATTACCTCCCTCACCTTGTCTCTCACGCAGCCTTGTCCCTGGCACTCAGCGATACTTAAACTTAATTCAAGAAGGTTAACCTGTATTCAGTAGGGTTTGTCCAGGAAATTGCCACACCTGTGACAAATTATGAGGGACCTGGGAGAAAGGAAACAATCCCGGGAGAAAGAAATAGCTGGGAAGCCTGCAGAGAGGTCAGGGCAAGGCTCCCCTCTCTTCCCAACTGGGGATGAGCTGGGAGAAGGGGACCAACGTACTTCCTCCCAACGGGAGAGCCGCAGACTCCTGTTTTAAGGAGAGAGGTAACAACTGCCTGAATTAACCTGCTCCAGGAGGAGGGTGGAGGTTCCTGCCACAAGGAGAGACTGAGGGTATGTCTACACTACGGGATTAATCCGAATTTAGATAATTTGAATTTGGGAAACAGGTTGTATAAATTCGATTGTGCGCGGCCACACTAAGCACATTAATTCGGTTTTTAACCACATTAATTCGGTGGTGTGCGGCCACACTACCCCATTAATTTAACCACATTAATTTGGTGGTGTGCGGCCACACTAACCCTAATTCGAATTAACAAAATCGATTTTGGCTCTACTCCGCTCGTCGAGGTGGAGTACAGAAATCGATTTTAAGTGCCCTTTAATTCGAATTAACTGGCTCTGTAGTGTGGACGGGTGAAGGGTTAATTCGGATTAACGCAGCTAAATCCGAATTAAAGTCGTAGTGTAGACCAGGCCTGAGGGGTAGCCCAGGCTGGGAACAGGGCTCAAGGGGTGGGCTTCAGAGCAATGCCAAATGCCAGGAGAATCTCTGCTTTATTAAAGATGTTTGTTCTGGACTATTTGGCACCTGCTTTTATTAGTAAATTCACTCCATGGAGAGTGTTATTGAGTCAAGAGGCCTGAAGTGGAGTTACTGGGTTCCTGAGAAGGGAAACTGAGGCAGGGAATGCCACATTTAGCCAGAAGTGGGTGATGCTGCCAGGCAGTCACACCCCGTGACAGTAACAAAAGGGGCAGAAGCATGAAAGAAAGTGTGAGTAGGAAACAAACAAATACTCATGGCACCACCGTGACACTCGCAGCTTAGCCCACAACTCACGCTGCTTGCTTGTTGCTGTGATACTTTGGGGAAATCTCTCTAATTTATGACTTTGGTGTGAAGTTACGAACTCGCTGTATGTACCTTTACCAAGCTGAAAATGCCATATGGAATGTGCAGCCTTTTGGCGTCTCTGTTGTCCTTTCGACTCCATGTTGGAACAGGAGGGGGTAGGGGCCGTGGCCCAACGGTAGGGGGTCATTTAACTTAAGTGCTCGCCCGTTGAAATGTGATCACTCTCGACAACGGACTGGCTCCAAACTAGGAAAACTAGGTTAGCCGGGGTGAGGTTGCCTGGCAGTGAAGACACCTATTGAGGGTGACAAGGGAGTCACCTGACAGAGGAGACTGGAAGGTTATAAAAAGGGAGGCACTGATCTAGTTGGGGATCATTTTTCCTCAGCTCAAGAAAGATAGGACAGAAGCAGTGGAACATGTAGGTGCCTAAGGTGGGAGGGAGCCCTGCCTACCTAACTGCACATAGATGGATCAGGCACTGAATTAGAATCCAGAGTCTCAGCTCTGCCACTGACCTACCTTGGGCAAGTCACTGTGCCGCTCTGTGCCTCAGTTTCCCCTCCTAACTTTGTCTGACTGATTTATGTAAGCTCTGCAGGTCGGGGACAGTCTGGTTATAACACCTAGCACAACAGGGCCCTGGGCATCCTTGTGGCCTCTCACACTAACAATAACATTGATTGTGAATTTAGACCCTTTTTATTGGCCTCTTTTATTGGTTAGCAGAGCTTTACCTATTACCCTCACCATGTTGGATGCAAATGTTCAATAGCTGGTTTCGATGAGCAACTTTCAGGAACTGTTCAGTTCCAGCTCTTTCTCATTGACGGTTAGTGACTGGTTGCTAGGTCCCATGGTATCATTTTTGCTCTCTGGTTAGGTACCTGAAACTGACTTAGAGAAGTATCTGGGATGACATTTTAGGTGACTAACCATTTACAGTAAAAAGCTAAGAATCTTTCAAGATTAACAAACGTTTTCATAATGACCTGGTAGTTCTCCAAACAATCACGAATAAGAGAACAGTAAGTCCTCCTGAATGGCAGACAATGCTGCAGAAATAATAGCATGCAATCATCTAATTAATTAAACTAAAGCAGACTGACCAGGGGAAGAGTTAAGGTTGAATGGACATCAGCAGCTAGAACATTTGCAGGCTTTCAAGTGCAGAGCGGGGTGAAATATTTCAGGCAAATAACTTTTATTTGACCAAAAATGCAGATTTGGGCTGACCAAAACAATTTTGGAATTCTGGTTGATTTTGGTGAATTCTTGCTCAAGAATAAAGAAACTCGGAAAAGTCAGAACAAGTTGTTTCCGAAAGATGTTGTGGAATTTCCCTCAGATTTATTTAAAAAACTCTTTAAAATGTTTTTTTTTTAAAAAACTCCAAATAAAACAAAACAGTTCAGGTCGTGTGATAAGTTTGATTTGATTCAAAATGATTTTTTTTTTTATTTGCTGAAGAAAAAAGAATTGGGGGTCATCAAGTCCAGGTCCCTGCACTGAGGCAGGATGTAATAAACCTAGACAGGTGTTTATCCAACCTGTTCTGATGTATTTTTCCCCACTAAGGAATGCATGCATGGATGCCACACATACACACTCCTGTCTTTGTTGTTGTTCTGAATTTTCTCAATCAGTTGCGCTCCAAACCTCTTTGTCTTGCTCCTTCCCTATGTGTTTACATATTTAATGCCAGTGGCCCTCCATTTCTGGTCCTTCCTGGATGCA